TCAAAGATATTTATTTATTTCTTTTCTATCATTTTTTGAGCAAGAAACACGAAAAACTACATAACAGAAGTTTTAAGGAATAAAGGGTTTAAGATCATCCCTCTTCAGACTTCCTTTCCTAAATATATCTGAAGCCAATATCTCTTGGGGCCAACTTATTCCTTGATAATGTATGGCTTTCATCATGATGATCCAAGTTTGTGTCTACTTTACTTGTGATGATCAAGTCGGGTGTTTTGAATTTCCTCTCTTTGATGTTAATGTTGTTGTACTTGGTCGGCTTCCTTTTGACTTCTTGCTTCATAATTGATTGGATCTTGAATTCCTCTAGCTTCATTTGCTTTCTTTCATTTGTCGAATTCACCCTTTTCATATCTATAGTAGTTGCAATATTTTTGCTGTGAAGATGGCGCTCAACTGATAGTAGCACCGCAACCCTATGTGAAGGCATGAATAATAGTCATGTGGCTAATGACGGGGTTATCTTGAGGGTTCATAGGATAGAGAGTGGTATTTCAATCTAGATGCCTTGATGACTTTGAGCTCTTTTTTATTTTTATTTTTTTTGTATTTTTGAGATTTTAAATTTATTTTAGCTAGCTTGACTTGCCCATTTGTTCTCGGATGATTCATTGAAGCAACTTAGAGGAAGACTATGCTATGTTGTTAGTTCTTAAAAATCATATTGCAGAATTAAGGGTCGTTATTTGGTATCATTTATCGGTGGGTTATATCAGTTTATATGTAGTTGCAAATTATTTTTGCAGTTGTTATAGCAAATGATTGTGCCTTTCTATTTTATAAAATAGTTGGTAATGATTAATAAAAATCCATCTTCATTGGATGGAATGAGTTTGTAGGTCATTGTCTCAAACAACGGAAGTCCACAAGCTCATAATTGATTTTAGCTTGTGGGATGATTGAAGTTGCATGAAGCAAACTTTTGGCACTACATGTAACATTTGATTAGCTTTCCGCATCTATCCTATTAGTTGTTTAAAACGATCTTTATCTGAGAATTTAGATTGCAAGAGTTCATCCCCTAAAGTGAGTTCCGCCTTCTCGTGAGTGCACTTCATTCAAAATACAAACAACTTTATTTTCACGAACACATTGTATATATGGAGAGGTTGCTAACTTCCTTCAGGGTCTGCCATTGATTAGCATTTATAAACCTGTCTTCATGTTAAATCTTATGGAACGGGTGAGATGAATCCTATCTCTATGTATTGTATGAATGGAACAACTCAGATCGATTTACTTGGGAGGTTGACTTCTTGATATCGGAGCTAACTCAAACAACGATAGAAATATAAATATTATTGTTGAATTTAAATAGGGTTACAATGATGACTCCAAACTAGAAATAAATGATAATAAACATAAGATGACACAAGCAAGCAGCCCTAAAGTGTTTCTCTGGTTGGTGGAGGTCGGCTAGGTGTATCGGGATGGTTAGTGGGAGTGGTGACAGCAAAGGAAGGCTGATGGTGGCTAGGGGGAGCACAACAATGCAGGGACAGCTAGCATGGAGGCTGTGCGGTGTGATGGCAGTGAAGAGTGGGGGTGGACAGCAGGATGGATGTGTTCCCTGGCTGTTCTGGAAGGCTGAGACAGTAGGGAGGAGGTGCAGTGTGGGTGGCAACAATGTTGGAAAAGAGGGGAAGGTGCCTGGTAGGTGGAGAACTGCAGAAAACTACAATTTGAGGGTTGTTGCGGGCAGCTGCAGTGAGGTACGGCAGTAGGGAGCGACGTGGGTGGCTGGGGAAAATGAGAAAGATGATCATAACCTTGGGCCGGGATACAACGAGAATACAACCTTTGAAGGGGAAACAAACGTTGGCGGCTGTCCTGACAGAAATCTGAAAGAAAGACAATAATTTTCCCTAAACTCAACAAAACAGGCATATAAATAGATTCTAAGCAAGTGGGAAACAAAAAAAGAAAAGAAGAAAGCAGTGGGCGGCAAATCCCAACTCCCATTAAGCAGCAATCAGGAAAGGAAAGCCAGGCGGGTCTGAGCGGCAACTCTTGGCTCTAAGAAAGGCAAGGAAGACGAGAATTAGAAGCGGCAGGCGTGATTAGAAAATCCCTCTTCTAAGAGGACCGACCCATCTAGTAGAAGGATGGATCGGACCCTCTAGAGGCTGGTTCATCGGTCCTCCCTAGCCCCGCGTTACCTCTATTTCCTCTTCCTCTTCAGTAGTAGGTCAAGCAAACTTTAATGTTGGCTGCCCATCTAAATTCCTAGCTTTAGAGAGTAGTTTAACTAGTTCTTTTCCTCTTATAGTGTTTGCCAGATTTTAAAGCTTTCAAACTTGATTTTTTAGCTTGTTTTTAAATGATACATTTGCAGTATCTTCTCATGCCATATACAACTCATTTACTTTGACAAGTTGAGTCCGAATATACATGTTAAGTGTTTGGCGTCTACTCCTACTGCGAATCTCAAATTGGTTATTATCCATAACGTGAAGTTGGGTTTAGAGGTCATCTCTTCTTTTACTCCTACTATGAAGTTAACCGAATATGACCTTTCTTTTTTGTAGTTTCCACATGCCTTTTGAGGAATGTTTACCATGTTTGGTGATGAGCCCACGGGGGAAAATGAGGTGAATAATGATTCCTCGTTAGTTGAGGATGAGTGGGTTCCAACCTTGGGAGCTTTGGACAACCGGGTTCTTGAAAAAGTGGCTAGACGTAGTTTTTCTTTAGGAGTTGATGGGAGGATGATTCTTCTATTTTACGGCTATATTCTTTCATTTTAATATAGGAATTCATAAGTTCTAGCAGTTCAAGAAGTGTTTTGGGCTGATATAGGCCAAGTGCGCAATAGAATGCCCGAGTTAAGGTGACTCGAGTTTCAATTGGCTCTAAATATTTGATCTCCAACAACTTTTTCATAGAGAGTTGTTATAAAACATCTGGATGACTTGTCTAGTTTTTTTAGAAAACTTGTGTGTTCTTTTAGGGCCATTGGGCGTTAACGAATTGGGCTATAAATATTCTCTTTAAATCAAAAAAGGACATAATCATCCCAAGGGGTAAGCGGGAGAACCATTTCATTCATGGCTTTTTGAAGGTTCTAAATAACAAACAACATCTTAGAATGTCATTGGCATCCAACAGTGAGACAGTTGACTCAAAATATGTGGTGAACCATCTTAGAATGTCATTAACAATGACACAGTTGACTCAAAATATGTGGCATGGTTAACCGGGTGAGTTTAAATTTGATATGGTTACAAGTGTATAATCTTGAGCATGGGAGTTGGCTTATCGTCGGTGAAATCCCGTGGTGAATGTGTTCACCAGTTGAGATCTCTTTCAGTATACTCTAACTTTGACAACTAGATTCAACTTCTTCTTTATCAGTCTCAGTGTACTATATTTCGTTTTGGCATGGCAGTGCTCTTGTGCCCAAGTTTTTTTTTTATTTTTTATTTTTATAGCTGAATTCGTGAGTTCTTCTAGTATTGGTGCCCATGTTATATAGATCTTGGATATATTTCTGAACACCCTAGAAGAGGCGGGCAAGTCACTCCATCTCAATGAGTCGGAGGGTCGTCACACAGTCGTTGTCCTCCATGATTATTGAAGCTTCCCTTGGTTGATCTTATTTGATCGAGTCCTTTAGCTGATCTTCAAGTGCCCCTTTTGGGTCCTTGCATGTTTCTAGGCTCACTGCATCTAAAAAAATATTTGATACTGATTTTGTTAGAGAGTTACACAAAGACTTTGCTAGTCCGTTTGAACTTAAAAAAAAAAATCATAGAAATAGAGACCAGTGAAGATAAGGAAAATATCAATTATATGGTTCGCAAAACACTGTAAAGTGGTATCTCAGAATCATGCAGTCTGTCATCAAGGGAAAAGTTTAAATAGAGATAAATACAAAAGGATAAAGTATAAATCTGTAGTGGTATATAGCATGAACAAACCTAGACTTAGATCGGTTTGGAAATCGACCATCTAGCAATGATAATCATTGGGTCTTAAGATATTGTTCGATTATGGGCCTTCAAGGTGTTCTTGTTATTGGGGTATATTTGAATTTAACAAGTATAGTAGCATCTTTGGGTATAAAAGTTGGGGTAGCTTGCTGAAGCGTGGAATGACCTAATATGGTTAGGGCAGTTAAAGATCAATTTTGAGTTGAGCTGGGGTCGATTCAAAATCAGATTGAAAAAAATTCGATCTAAAATTTTGGCTCATTGCTTGACCGTTTATTTTGATCTGATCTTGATCCGAGCCAAAATTTGATTAAACTTTTGAATGATTAACCATCTTCGAGCTAAATTGACTAAATTTACAACCTTAATATCACTAGGGTCCTTAAGAATCCAATTTTGAGCTGAACTGAGGTCCGCTTGAAATCAGCTCGAAAAAAATTCAATTCAAAATTTTGGCTCAAAGCTCGGCTCGTTTATTTCGATCTTATCTTAATCTGAGCCAAAATTCAAATCAATTTTTGAGCGATTAACGTTCTTTGAGCTAAATTCACAGACCTAGATATGGTGATAATCTCAGTGATGTTCCTTTGGGATATAATGACAAATTTCGGAGATTTTTTTCTTCGTCTAGTGAATGTACTCCTTTCTAGTAGGCATGTGAGTTCGCCTCATAAACTCTTTGCCAGTCGGTATATGCATGGAACTCAATAGGGCGAGTCCCCATGAACTCAGTTGGCGAGTCCATCTCCAGCTTTCGATCTAGTTCACAGTCCATCTCTAGCTTTGGATCCAGTTGGCAAGTTCGTCTCTCCGTGTTCCTTTTGGGTTAACTTGCCTTTAGGGTGTTCATATAAATAGTTAAGAATAAGATATATCAGTTCATAAGAATTTTGAAGTATGTAAAATTCCCATTTTTTTTATGCTTTAACATTTATCAATATCTGGAAGATTAAAATGAATCAGCATGAGAACAGGCATATCTACCCTCTCTCTCTCTCTCTCTCAGATTTAAGTTCTTATTTTGCCTATATCCATTTTATTTCTCAGGCGAAGCAGTTGGGGTTTCTGTTTCATCAAACCTCGAGGATGCTATTGTTTATGAAGTAGACTATTGCGCATTTACGCACTTACAAAGGCAGGTATTTTCCGAACCTTCAATGGCTGTTGCTGTAGGAGGCTTCAAGTTGGTAAAAAGCAGTCAAGCCGGTCTCCTATATATTTGATGAATTTACCATATCTATCCATTAGAATCGAGATTGGCTCTTGAATTCCAATATTTTCCAGGTATCTTTATCCTGCCATAAATGGTTTTCTGCAGTGATTATTACATTCTTATTAATATTTTGATGTAATAAAAATCCTGTACTATTAAACCCTGAGAGTTTCCACCTTGCTCCCATTCTCATTTAGGAAGGTGGTTGTTTGTGGTTTTGATTGTATATTTAGTAGAAATAATCATCCAGGCAAGGAATTTGTAAAAGAAACTAGATCATCAGATTTATTGGAGTTTGCATCATGGTTGCTGCGTTTTTTTCTTAGTAAATTTTTTTTATATAGCTTCTGTAGCTGCTGCATTGAAATGCAAGCTCGAGCCCAGCAACATGAATTTGTCAAAAGGCCGACTAGCAATGCTTCAAGTTTAGAATTTTAGCCAAATATTTCTTTTTTTATTGCCTGTAACGTGGCAGGTTGATGAGCTTCTTAGAAGCCAGCTGCTTAAGCTTTGCCAGTTCAGAAGTTTTAAAAAAACTCAAAACATTTTTTGTTTTGTAGATTGTCCTACAATTGACTCTTCATTTACATGCAATGTGGCATTATATAATAATTTTGTAACATCTATAGGTGCTTATTGGTAGCTTAAAATAATAATAAAAAAAACATTTAAGAAATACTTATTTATGACTTATTATGACTTATTATTTTATAGAATTATTATTTAGTTGGACATCATTATAAAACAACACTGATTTTAAACCTTGAAAAAAAACATTTAAATGCTTACAAATGTTGTCATTTCATTTCTTTTATGTAGAAAAGGCTTAAATAAATATACAATTATTATTTATTTCTCTTGAATTAAATGACCTCTGATTTGTAAACTAAAGAAAATGGACTGATTGGTGAGCATCTATATGTTTATCGAGCTTGATAGTTAATCTTTAATGCTTGCTCATGAGCTTTTAATTATGTCAAACTAAAGCTTACTGGACTCAACATGGATCAAGCTGCAAGTACTTATATTTTCTACTGTACCAAAGGCACTTTTGTTTCAAAGCAGTTTGGGTGAAAATTGTTCTTCCGGGTCTGATGATGGAAAAAATATTACATCAGTACTACGCACGTAGAGGAACGTGCGTACCCAATGAAATCACGCCACGATATCCCGCGCGACGCAGAAAAAAACGGCGCAGTAACACGGGGAATATTCCTCCCCGTGTTATTCATGTGTTATTGTGTGTTATTCATGTGTTATTGTATCCTGAGAATATTCCTGGTGTTATAATACATGAATAACACATGAAC